CAAAACAACAACAACGCCACCTAAATAAATAAATAAGTGAATAAATACAAAAAAAAAAACCCAGCCTGCACGCCCAATTAAGGAACAACAAATATACAAGTTATAACATAAAACCGTAACGCAATAGAACGAACAAATTAAAGAAAACTTACAACGAGCTGAAACATTTCGTGTGTCACCCCTCCCCCCCAAAAAAAGCAACTCCCCTCCCACCCCCCCTCCCCCTCCCGCCAAAAAGAACAACAAACAACCAAACAAAAACAAACAAAAAAACCCAAAACAAACAAACCCATCGACAAATGCATGTTTTACTTTATTTTTTGTAAAAGATTTACGGCCCTTGGAACAAATTACATATCAAAACGATCCAAAGATTGAAAGTATTATAACCGGAGAGTAGCAAACTAACAGAAGATATTGGGGAGATATAATAATAATTGTAATAATAATAATAGATAGAATTTGTATTGCGCAAATTCCGGCTCAACAGCAAGTTCTATGCACTTTACGATCTTTGTTATTACCCCGGCAGGCCGGGTAGCATTCTGAAAAAAATCTCAACTTCCTGGGAAGCATACAGTGCATGCAGCCAATTTACAGGCACTAAGACGCTGATATACTGATAAAATATTTCGCTTTCTATGGCCCGGTACCTAGGTGGATATAAACAGAATTTCTTGCCGGATACCCATTCACACCTGGGTAAAGTGAGGACAATTCGTGTAAAGTCTCTTTCTGAAGGGCGCAACGTCGGGCCTGGGTCTCGAAACGGCAAACTCGCAACCTCAAGATTACGAGTCCGGTTGCTTAACCACTAGACCACGATACATATTATAATGTGTCATAGGAAAGAAGTGAGCCAACCACACCAGAAAACCCGCAAGCCACCCACACAAAAATCACATCTGGGAGCATTTCTACAAAACAAAAACCTCTAAGCGTACAAAAGAAACCAGAAACCAAACAAAACCTTTGTGCACTATGCACCTGCTATAGCTACGCCAGCACCCACCGCGAGGAATCTCATTCCTCAATTCTTTCTCAATAGTGTCGAAACGTTGATGGCGCTGCGAAATGGCTTGACAAACACCACTGCACTCTGCGTTTTCCATGAAGGTGCGTTAACCGCCATTTAGATTCAGCCTGAATTCCATTTCTTTCACACATCTCAAGGCTGTACAGTTGTGCAGGCGGCAAATAGCGAAGAAAACATTCAACGCGAATCTCTTGCTCTGCAATCGTTCTTTTAGTTTGAAACTTTGCTATTTGTTTTCTTCCGCACAAATGCAGAGTGGGCAGGAATTAAGGATTGTTTTTGTTTATCTATAAATAGCGGATATTTCGTCATGAGAATGTTGATGGAGGAGAGTGTCTTCACTCCTTCCTCCCCCCCCTCATTCCCCTCATCCCAATGGGTGTCTTCACTCCTTCCTCTCTCCCCCCATATCCCCCCATCCCAACCCCGTGTCCCTCGTACCCCCGGGTAGCGACCTCCCGGCCTGTCCAATTTGCTTCCACAGAACTCTTGACGCTAATTTGTTCCAACCATTTCTGTCCACTTTCTCTGCCAATTTTCTAATAGGCGCGGCGGAACGGGGGAGGGTGGGGAGGGAGAGGAACAGTGGGATGGAAGAGTGAGATGGGGTGGAGGGTGGGGGAGGGGAACACGAGGATGGATGGGAGAGGGTGGAGGATAGGGGAGGGGATGGTGGTGGGAGCGTGGACCATAAGGGAGAGGGGGAAGGTGGGAGGGTAAAGGGTTGTAGGGCAGGGGGTATAGGGAGGAATGTGAGTGAGTGTGAGGGGGGGGGGCTTCTGTGCCCGAAGGCTATAGGTAAAAGGGTGCTGAGTGAAAGACATAATGGTAGTATATGTACATAGAGAGAAATAGAGAGAGTGAGAGATTTACAGAGAGAGAGAGACAGAGAGAGAGACAGAGAGAGACAGAGAGAGACAGAGA